TGGCAGAACAACCAGTAGTTGAGCATAGTTTGAATGTATATGTGTTGAATATTTGAACTTTGAATGCACAAGGAGTAACAGGAGATAAGGCTGGAGGGGGAAAGTGAGTCTGGTATTGGAAGTCCTTACATTGGGCATCAAGAAATTTTGACTTCATCTTGTATACAGAGGGAAGCCATTGGATTGTTTCAGGCAAGGGAGTGTGACAGTCTTATATCTCCTTCAGAAAAGTAAGATAGATTAGAAGGAAATGATTCAAGTTTGGAAGTGAAAAAGATCTGAATAAGCCAAGTGGGTCGGGGGAGGGAGGAGGGAAGATAATGTGTTCCCTTTAAATCTACTACATTTGAAGTACCCAGAGAATAGCCAAGTTAAAATGTCCAATAGTTAGCTGGAAATATGAGTCTGATGCTCAGAAGAGAGATCTGGATTTGGGACCATTAATAGTAAGCATTGACTAAAGTAAGCCATGGAAGAGAATGACATTACTTTGGGAGACCATTTAGGATGGGGAGCAAAGGGGCCAAAGGTGGAATTCTGGGAAGTATTAATATCTGAGGAAAAATATTGAGGAAATAGTTGAATTGAAAGAAGCTGAGAAATGAAGGATGGTGGTGAGGAATCTACTCTTTTAAGAAAGTTGAGTGAGAAGGAAAGAGGGCGGAAGCAATAGGAAGCTACCTAAAGGAAGGAGGTATTTTGTTATGTTACATCTGCTAGGTGAAGATGAGTGAAGAAGTCAAAGTTAGATATAGGGGAGATTGGGGACAATAGATGGAGGTGGGAAAGGATAGCAGCTAAGGCAAACCTGGAGAGATTAGTCCCAAGCAAGGGGTTCGGGCACTTAGTCTGCCAAAAAAAAAAAAAGGAATTAGAGTTTGATTTAGTGGTTCTCACATTAGAATCACTGAGGTAACTTTAAAAAATGCCAATAGCTTGGATGGACCTTGGAAATTTCTGGTTTAATTAGTCTAGGATGGGTCCTGAGGATGGGTATGTTTTCAGAGCTTCCTAGGTGATTCAAATCTGCAATCAAGGCTGAGAACCAGTGGTTTAATTGTAGGTAACTTTTTAGAGTGATGATAATGGGATGGGATTTGAGGAAACTCACACTTGATATCAAGTTTGGATGAATAGGGAGTGGTAAAGTTTTGAGATAGGTGAGGAATTGAGAAAGACAGGGAAATTAGAAGGGAAGGGAACTAATATTAACTTAGTGACTTCTAGAGGCCATTAATGTAGAATAAATGAGGCTTGGTCCTGTTCTCAAAGAGATTAGGAGCTTATGTGAGAGATACCTCACATGATGACATTGCAGAGCTTTTAACCAGTTAAGGCTTTTTTTTCCTACTTTGTTTTCTTTTCATTAAAAGTGAAACAAAATCCAATTGTTCTACAGTATAGACTGGTTTAACATTTGTAAGCATTGGAGGTAATCTTTCCAGGAAAGTGAATGCTGAAGAAAGAGCTGTAATTATCATGGGAGATGAAACTGTCTCCCATTTTATCTGCACACTACAAGAAGATGGTGGTTCCTGCCTGGGATGTGGGTACATTACTGGGGTCACTTGTACCTGGGAGTGTCTGAAATTGCTAATCACTCACATTGGAGAACTTTGATGGCCGTCCTGCTAGGGTACAAATCTTCTCTGTTTGAGCAAGGTACTAAGGATTCCCTTCTCTCAGCAGTGGTGCTGGGAAAGGGCCCTACTTTTCATCAGAGTGGGAGACCTAACCTTCGCCAACATGTTCTGGTCTTGACTTCTGGGAGCTGCTTCATCTGCATGGGAAGCAGACACTTCTCTGCAGCTGGGACTTTCCCTTGGAGAATGTCCACTGCCACTTCTTGGGCCCCAGGAGACTCAGCCCTTCAGGGTGGCCTCTGGTCTGCTTGTTCCATCCTTGCTGCCTCAGGCCTGTGAGCTGGTTAGCATCTACAGAGGGCCCTGGCTCGTGGCTAGGAGCTCCCTTCCTTGAACAAGATTCCTGAAAGCACTAGGAATCCCCTAGGCACGAAACAGAGAGGGGAAGTTTGATTGGGAATTGACTTGGGCATGTGGAGGGAGTTCTCTTACCTTATTAGTTCCATTTTATAGATAAGAATTGAGGCTTGAAGAAATTAGAAAGAGTTTGATTTAGTGGTTCTCACATTAGAATCACTAAATCATGTCCTCAAAGCTAGGAGCTGAGCTGTGCATTCAAATCTGTTCTACTCTGTTGTCCTTCAGGCTTCTGACCTCCCTCTGTCACTGTAGGTGGGCCCCCTTGGGAAGATCTTAGTTGGATATCACCTCAGTGCCTTGCCCTCCTGAAGAATTAGTCTAGGACCCTTGGGGCCTGGGGCACATGAGCCTCTTCTTTTGGTCTCTATTTCCCCACTCTTCGAATTAAGGATGTGAGATCCAGGTGGGTTTCCATCCTTGTAGTGAGGGTGAAGGGCAGTCCAGTGAATTGCTGCATGGGACACACCACATTAATCCAATTTCATGTTGGACTTCTCTGTAATCCAGTGTTTTCATTACAGAGATATAATTGAAAGGCTCTAATCTCACCCTCAGAGAAGAAAAATGAGAGACTAAGCTTATTTCAGTTTGATGTCTGATATCTGTTAATCCTGAAGCCTCACCTGTTGACTTCTTGACTCAGGTTTTGAGCTCTATGTGGGGTCGCTGTACAGAATTATCTGTAATTCTGGCGTCAGAATCTCTGTTTCTGATTCTTTGGGCCTTTCATTCCCATTAAATCTGCTGGATAGCCAGTCACGGCCATAGGAGTTAGGGCGGCCCGACACTGTATCAAATTATACACTTGCTGCCCAGCACTAGGGGTGTGCTCTGGGCAGGGCTGGGAACACTCTAAGGCCTCCCTATCTCCCTTTACCCTTCCTCAGCTCTTTTGCTCTTTGTCCCTCATATACCTGGTTGTGGTCACTGCCGGAACAGCGCAGCCCAGATCCTGGCATACGATAGGCAGCAACTGAACAAGCCTGGATGCATGTAGGAACTTGGGTACCTGAAATGAAAATTCTCTATATTCCATGTAGTCATGGTGCTCAGCCCCTTGCTGACCCAGGATGTGGGAAAGGAGGATGAGGAGAGGCAAGGGTGCAGACATAAGAGTAGGGAAGTATTTCTAAACGTTCTCCATCTTCAAATGGTCATGCTGCAGATGAAGATGGCTCTGTCCTCATCTTTGGTCAGGTTAGAATGAACCACCACAAGGGATAAGATTAGGTCTCAGAAAAAAAAAAAAAATCATCAGGGAGGAGCAAAATTCCCCAAGGAGTGAGAAACAGAGGCTGGGCTTTTCCTTCCTTGGGACTTCTTAATCACAGGTTTGAGAGAGAAGATATCAGGATTGGGAACTGGAGGCTGCTGAGGTGTTGAGGGTTTTGCCCTGCCCAGGGAGAAGTATGTGGAGGGGCTTTTGAAGTATTACTATTCTAGGTAAGTGCGGGGTTGCAGGACAATACTAATGATAATATAATCATCCTTTTGCTTTCACTCCCTCCAAGAGAAACATGGACTTCCCACAGCCTAGACTTTTATGGTGGGGGTCACTCTTGGTGGCTTCCGTGTATTGCCCCACTTCATGAACCCCAACAGGTTTCTTGGGAGTGTTCAAAGGCAGAAATGTCCCAATTATGGCGGATATTTTTAGGTACCCTGTTATCCCTGTGTAGTACCTTCAACTCTAAGGTATCTGAAATCCCTGGAGTCGAGAGCCCAGCCTGCTCGGGGTTAAAGACTGACCAGGTCAAATCATTTATACTCTCGGAGGTTTCCTAGCAGAAGGGCCCCTCTCCGCCATCCGAACTCCCGGCGCCCTAGTGGTGCCCCCGCCCTCCCTGCAACCCTAGGACAGGGTTCCCTTTGTAATTAATCCCAACGCTCAAACCAGAGGGGAGGAAAAAGTGTTAATGAAGGAGCGTCCCAGACTGACTGGGCGGCCGCTGCTCGCAGCTAAAACACCAAGTAATTAAATTATTTCTGGAAGCGGGGGGCGGATATGGTGGTGTCGGTGTCAGGGAAAACCCCGTAAGCATGGGAAGGGGGACGCGCCTCTCGCTACTAATTAAAATCAGGGATGATTCTCCCTTCTCGCAGCCTTGGGGGTGGGGAGTGGGAAATCAATCTTTCCACGTCCCAGATTCCATTGGACTTTGTGTAGCCGGGTTTGTGGCCCTCAAGTACTGAACTCGGCCATCCCCGGGGGGTTGGGGGCTCCGTCTCCGACAGGGGAAGGGAGGCCGAGGAAAGCAGCCTGTAGGCTGGGCCAAGGCCAGGAGTCGAGGTACCCCTAGGTTTACGTTTGGGGCCGGAGTCGCAGCACCGCCGCCGAGTCCGAGGATCGCCGAGGGCCGCAGGGTATATGGAGGCGGAGGTTGGGGGGAGCCGTGACTCCGGGAAGAGCTGGGCCGCAAACAATGGATGCAGCGGCGGGAGGGCGGTGACCACGGGAACAGCCGGGAGGCGGCACTGTGAACTGGTTCCCCGCCCCCTGCAGCCCCCCCTCGCGCCTCCTCCCCTCCCCCTTCGCCGCCGGCTCCAGGTCTGATTCCCGATCCCTGATTCCTAGATCCCTGGTCCCGCCATGGGAGCCTGAGCGCCCCCCATTGCCCCCGGCCCCCTGTCCCGGGGCCTTGAGGGGGCAGAGGCAGCGGTCTGGGACGCAGAGGGGACGGACTAGGCTCCGGAGCCCCCTCCACATCCCCGCGGTCCCCACTGCCGAGCCGGGAGCACGGAGTTCGGAGCGACCCGGGGCGCTGCGGATACAACCTCATAGAATTCATTGTCTACCCCATATTTATAATGGAGAAGATGCAGCCCGGACAGCTGAACTCACCTGCTGAGGTTACACAGGTTAATGTATGGAGCTGCGGAAAAAAAAAAAAAAAAGAAAAAGAAACAGAAAAGGACAATCGTGCAAGGAACCAGGGGGTGCCCGACCCTTGATTGGGCAGGGTGGCTCATGGGGGAAGGGAGGCGCAGGGCAACCCCCTTCCGGCCTGCTCCACCACTGCACAGAGGAACCCTCCCCAGTTTTGGGGAGGGGAAGGGGTGCATGGTGGGGCGGAGCCGGGCCTGGAGAGCCCGGGACTTTCCTGGGCCCTTAATGATCCCGGGGGAGCCGGTTAAAGCCGGAGACTGGGTGTGTGTATTGGAGGTGGGGGGAGAGACAGTGGAAGGATTGGGGTCTGGAGATATTGGAAGCGAGGGTGCTTAGGGTGCATCAACACCACAAGAGTATAGGGAGGGACGGGACAGGTATGGTTCAGGGTGTAATGTCAGGTCTGGAGAGCCGGCGCAGGCGAGTAAGAGGCTGTGTGTTTGCAGCTCGAGAATGGGACTAGCAGCCTGGGCACCCGGGCACTGGGTATGGCCCAGGGATCAGGAGCCGGCATCCCTTTGCTCACTCCTGTTTACTCATATGAGGGATCTTGGGCTGTGCACTAGTGAGTTTTAAAGGATTGATGGAAGACCAATGTGCATGATTCTTTGTTTTTGTGTGTCCTGCAGGTGGGCCCCTGGGTTTGGAGGTGTAGATGTTTTTCTGTGCCTGAGTGTGTGTGCACCCAGAGAGCTGCTGACCATGAATCTGCTGTGTGTTTGGATGTGAATTTATGCGTACACTCTGGGGAAGGTATGTGTCTGTGTGTGTGAAACCGGGAAGGGTTTATGGGAAAGCGGTGTATAGGTACCGGGGAAGATTGGTGGTATAAGAGCAGAATGGGGCATACCCCGGATGTATGTGTGCACCTGTGTCCTGGGAAGCCGTGTGAATGAATGTGTTCTCTTGGGTGTAACCTTTGCAGATGAATAAGTACCAGTGTGTGTGTGCCTGCCTTAGGTGGTGTACGTTTTTGAGTGTGTTGGGGGTACTACCTCTTGCCCCTGCAGGCAGATTTTCCTGGCAGAAAGCACAAAAGGAAGGCTGTCTGGAGGATTCTAAGGCTTCCTGGATGTCCCTGACTTGGTTTGAGGGTACTGCCTTAAGTTTCTGAGACCTATGGGTGAGAGTGAGTGGGACATCTTATGAGGGGCCTGTTTTGGGAAGTGAGTTTTTCTGGAAAAGGATGTGTGGTATGAGGAATAGGGATTCTGGTTGTAGTCTTAGTGAAATGAGGATTGGAGGAGTCAAGGGGAAGAATAAGAGGGACCCCTGCGCCCCAAACATAGGTTGGATTCTAATGCTTGGAGAGGCTACATTCTTGGCTTTCCAGACTCAATTCTGCCCCCTCTGGTCACAGTTCACTTGGAAAGCTGTTTTGGAGTTTCTGCTTCCAGGCCCACTAACTGCCCTGCCTCCAGGATCTAACAGTTCCCGAGGAGTCTTGGGGTATTGGAATGGATGGAGGCGAGAGGAAGGAGCATGCTTGCTGGAGGGAGGAGACCTGGTGCAGAACAACTTGAGTTCTTCTCCATGAGGTTGAAAAGGTGGCATGGGAGCTCTGGAGAGGCCAGCGGGAGCTGGGGGGGCATGGAGTGGAGCGGGAGGTGTTCTTCAGGAGTTTCTGGAAGTATGTCTGTGTGGTTTGTTGCATAGTTTCCCTTTTCACTGGCAAGAAGAGAGATTGGATGGGGCTGTGGTCTGGGGCCCCATCTCAGGGTGAAGAATAGAGGCTGAGCTTGCAAGAGGGGCAGATGCCCGAGTTGGGGAAGGGGCAGGCACCCATGTCCCATCATTATGATAGCAAGGTAGGAAGTCACATTGCTCAGGAATTGGCAGTCTTCTCAGAGAAGCAGCAGCCATCCCCTTTTCCTCTTCTCTCGTCTTTCTGTTTTGGAGTGAAGGGAAGGGGCTGGCCTTTCAGGTGCACACCTTGTTTGCTCATCTCACTCTCTCAGCCATTTTCCTCTTGCTGCCAGAGGTCAGGTTGAGGCATCCAGTTTTAGGAGCTGAGGTTGTGATTGCCCATTAGGGTCTCTGTGGGATTGGATTGGATTGGAATGTTAGAGTCCCTAATGGGCACTTGTGATTGGAATGTTCCCTTTTTAGTCCTCAGGCTCCCCACTTTCCTAAGACCCTGGGATAAGAGTGGTGGGGGTTAGAAAATGTTAGCACTGGGAATAGAGGCAGAGAAGGAGAAGACTGAATTTTTTAAAAAAGTATGATTCTCTCAAACTGTCTGACCTGTCTGGTGGGTAGGTCTCCTGTGGCGAGCATGCTCTTGCATTTAGTCTTTGGGCTCCTTGTTCTCCCTGTGCAGTCTCACTGCATATATGCTGTGCTATACTGGTGGGGCGCTCTTCCAAGGAGGAGGAATTGTGACCAGACAATAGGAAGTGCCATCTCTGCAACTACTTCCAGACTGGACCCAGTGGTCACATTGGCCCCTCCTCCCCCATAGTCTTGCTTCTGCTTCTATTTCCTCTAATTCTTCTGGGGCAGGCCTCTCTGGTGTGTTCCCATCTGCTCCTGCTCCTTTGAGGTCTGAGGAAGGGCCCCCTTCTCTGGGCTTAGAGGAGGGCAGACTTTTATCTGCTCATCTGGTTTCCAAGAGGTCTTTCCCGTTAGGGGGGCCGTGAACTTGGCTAACAGAACTTTGGGGGAAGAGCTCTGGGACTCCCTTTATCGATAGTCTCTTGAGTTTTAGGGACTCCAGGTGTCTCTGTGGCTCATTCCTCCACCAGCTCCACACACTGTGAGGCCAAAAGAAAGAGTCTGACATGGTTAGAATTAGTGCTTAAGAGTATAGTGGTGTGACTTTGGAGTTTAAGAACCCCTTTCCTCCATTCCTCAGCCTCTTAGATGTCTTAAGATGCTATCCTCCAACCCCAGGTGGGGCCTTCCTCAAGGAATCCTAGGTTCCCCACAGAGGCCTCCTTCCCTGGGTTTCAGCTTACTTTCCCCCACTTTCTTTAATTCCCCACCCCTTGGCTCTTCCACCCCTGACCAATGGATGTTGCAGTTTCTCCTTAAGAACTGGATCTCTTAAGGCAGAGTGTCTCCTCCCACGTGCTGGTGCTGCCTGCACCCAGGGCCTGGCGCACCTGGGGTATGGTCTTTGGCTCCACCTGGGGCACAGACCCAGGACCTTCTGTGTGTAAAGCAGACGTGCTGACCACTACACTATGAAACCACCCCTCAGCTTACTCTTAAATTCTGGTTTTGCCACTTCCTAGTTGTGACCTCCGAGAAAAATAGATAACTTTTCGAAGCCTCATCTGTATAACGGAGTTAAAAATAGGTCCTGCCTCTTAGGTTTATGAGTATTAAATGAAGTAATATGTAGAGAGTACTTCACATGGTACCTGGCACACGGGAAGCACTCAGCAGTAAATGGTAGCTGGTGTGGTTCGGATTCTGACTGAAGATTGCTACGGAGAGAGTTCTGGGCTGCGGAGGAGAGCTAGGCTTTGGTTATGCTCTTCTTCTGGCAGTCCATGTTGGGCGCCGCCTATCTGCCAGGTGTCGTGTGAAGCACAGAGGATAGAGGGGCGAATGAGACAGGCTTTCATGGGGAGATGTGCAAAACACGTGGAGTCATTTAGCCTAGTGAGTGCTATGTGGAGGTGTGTTCTGGGCCCAGCAGAACATAGAGTAAGAGTACTGGCCCTGAGGTGGGTATCAGGGAAGGTACCTGGAGGTGTGTCCTTAAGTGGATGTATTTTTTTTTTTTTAATTAAGATGAAATTCACATAACATAAAATTAACCATTTTAGGATGAACAATGGCACTTAGTACATTCTCAATGTCGTGCAACTATGGCCTCTATCTAAAAACATTTTTACCATCCCAAAAGAAAACCAGTGCCCATTAAGCGGTTCCTCTCCAATCCCCACCACCAATCTGCATTTTGTCTCTATGGACTTACCTATTCTGGATATTTCATATAAATGGAATTATACAATGTGTGACCTTTTGCATCTAGCTTCCCTTACTTAGAGTAATCTTCAAGGTCAATCCATGTTGTAGCACGTATTGGACTTCATTCCTTTTCATGGCTGAGTCATATTCCATGGTGTGGATTGCCCTTAGCAGGATTTAACATGTGAGTTAGGCAGGCAGTGAGGGGACCGAGGAGGGCACTGCAGGGAGAGGCTGAGAGGGCAAGAAGAGTCAGGGGTGTCAGTGAACTACGTGCAGCTTGATATTATTGGACTCTGAAGTATGCAGTGGGGACTTGGCCTCAGTTTCCTTGCTTATAAAACCAAGTCCTATGTGGTCGGTGGGGATGGAGGTACTAGGGAGAGGAGAGGCTGTGGGATATTACTGCTTCTTCTCAGGATCTGTGTCGGACGGGACTTTGAAACTTGACATATTCTCCTCTTTCCTGGGCAGCTCCCTCCTGGATGCATCTACCCTCATCCTCGTGGGTTCCTGTTTTCCTGTTTTACAGGGTGTCAACTTCCCCTCTCTCTCACTTGAACTAAAATTTCTCCACTTACCCTTTCCAGGTGGGTAACATTGTTCACGGCGAGGTTTTGGTAGCAGAGGTGGAGAGGCCTGCGAGTACATCCTACTCATCCCTGCCCCTCAGCAGCCCTTCTCTTCTTTACCTTGTCTCTTGGTGACCTGATTTGAGGAGCCCTCTGTCACCTTTTTGTGATGTGGAGAGAAATGAGGTGGGTCATGGAGAATCTTTCCATCTCTTCCCTTCACTCTGAGTAGTACAGAGTAGGAGGCATGGGGTGGGGTGGGGTGGGGGATACCCTTTGGAAATGAGGTGCTGCTGTGCTTGTCCAATGCCCCTGGCAAGGTTGGTAATTACAGACATGACAGCTGGGAATGGGTTTGGAGAAGCGGGCTTGGAATCAGCAGAGCTGAGGATATCCTGCCAATCAGGGAGGGGCAGTGAGAGGGGTGAGTGGGAAGAAGCTGGGGGCCAAGGTGGAGTGGGAAGCTTGGGGGCCCCTTCCCCTGCCACTGCACACACAGCTGGGCTTAGTGCCTACAGGACAGCGGGAGATGATTGGAGCCCAGGCCCTGCCTCACTGTAAGTACAAGGAAGGAAGGAAAGAGAGAGTCTCGGGGTCCCGGAGCCCCTGAGGAAAGAGGTCGAGAGAGCAAGAGGGGTTTTGGCTGCTCTGTCAGGCATTGCAGGGTGTGGTCTTACTTAGAGAGGGGCTTCATGTCGAGTGGGGGCCAACACTGTAGCCAGAGGAGATTCCTCTTATTCTGGGTGGGGTCTTATTTCCCACAATGAGGCTAAGGGAACATGAATTGGCTGTGTACTTCTAAAGGACAAAGAGGAGGGAAACTAACATTTTATTGAGCATCTGTTATGTGCCTGATTGTGATATTCTGTATACGTTATTTTGTTGAAAACTCTTAACCTTCTGAAGTAGGCACTATTATCCCCATTTTATAGATACGAAAACTCAAGTTTAGAGATTGCATAGCTCCTTGGAGGCTGTGTTAGCTCTAACTTCATTGCTCTTCTGTTTCCCAAAGTGCTCTTTCCGCCTTTGCCTATTCTCATTCTAATTAGGTCTGATTTTGTTCATTACTACCTTTAATCTTGAACTTGAATAATTCTCCTGTCTCCTGAAAAGCAGACTTGAGAAGTCTACCCCTAAGGGAAGGGGTGACATGGAGTCTCCTGGAGGAACAGCGTCTCCTAAGAGGAGCACCAGTTGTCACAAGCCTGGGGCAAGGCTGCGGCCATGGCAGAACCTCTCCTGGGGCTGGCCCCTTCCTCTCTGCTGGGCCACTTCACACATGGGCTCCCACCATGATAGCCCATGGGGTTGTTTGTGCTTGTGATCAGATGGGGCCTGGCCCTCATTGTTTATATGGTTTACTAGCAACCCCCTAACAATATCCTCAGACTCTTGCTTTCATCAGAGAGCTCCTGGTTCCCCTGGCCAGAAGGGAGATGATGCGTTTACGCTTGAGTCTGGGGAGAGGGGCTCTGGCTTTCTAGGGTAAGTGGGGATTGGACAGGAACAGGTGCTGAGCCTGAGGTGTGAATACAGTAACTTCAAAAACCATGGAGTGTGAGCAGAGACACTTGTGGTTTTTTTTTTTTTTTTTCTATCACTGGCTTTATCCAGGAAGGTAGATGGCAGATATAAGGGGTGGGGGAGGTTGGATTTCTCAGAAGGAGTAGATTTGTTAAGGTGGTGGAGGCTAGTTGGTACTTGGGCCTTTCAGCTGGCCTCTTTTCCTACATAAGAACTGGCTGAGGTGTGAAGTTTTCTGATTGGGGAGACCTAGACTTGCCACTTGTACCTGCAGTCACACTGCGTTTCACACTCTTAGACCCACCTTCCCACCTTTCCCATACAAACCAATCTTTATTGCCAGTGGATTCACATCACAGCTGTCCCCATCCATATGCAAACCTAAGGGTGGCTGACTCCCTCTCCCCAGCAGCTGCTTTCCACCTCCTACTTAGAGACAGGAGCTGTGTGAGCTGCTTTGAAGGTCCCCCTTGGGGTCAGGGACAGTTGGGGCCTACCTGTGACTGTAGGCTCTGGAGAGAGGGAGGTGTTTTTTTTTTTTTTCTGTTAGGGTGGGAGTGGTGTGCACGGGAGGTTGGCCTGTGGGCCATCCCAGCTTGCTCACCTTCCATTGTCCACCTTCTCCTGTCACTGCGGACAACTTGGAGGTGCCTTGTTGGCTCTTCCACAGCTTACCTGGGGGCAGGTAGGGGCCAGTCTTTTGCTCCAGCTGAGGGAGGAGGCAGCTCAGAGCCCGGTGGGTGGAAATTGTGGGGCCTGCTCATTGGTGAAAATTAGAGCATCCAGGCATCTAGAAGCCCTGGTTACCTTCTTACCAGCTTAGCCTTCACCTGGGACATATGCCAAAGGGATTACTCACCCTTCCTACTGCACACTCCTCCCCTGCTCATGTTCCTTTTCAGACTGACTGGTAATGGGTCTGGGGGAGGCTAGGGAATGGAGTGCTAGGGGGTGTGTGTGAATGTGCATGCACATGTGTGCTCTTGTGTTTGGTGTGCTGGGGGGCAGGGACTTTAGAGAGATGGGGTAGGGATGGGGGTGCCAGAGAAAGCAGAGCAGGTCTCTACAGAACCTGCCCAGCCAGGGTGGGTGGAGCTGGGTGGGGCAGGCAGGAGTCATTCCAGGTTTCAGAGGGAGAATAGCTGCGTGGGTGTACATGTGTGTCTATGTTCATGTCCGTGATTTGGAGGGTCCCCAGCCTCACCCCTGCCTTAGAAGGAGAAATAGTAAGGAAGTAGGTTAGAGAGGGCCTGACTCTGGCTTCCCTGGCTCCTTTTTAGTTAGAATGCATGCTCAGGTATCTTGGCCAAGAGCCCAGTCTGTGGGCCCTCCCCTGCTCTTTGCAGTGAGGTTTGGTGATGAGCAGCTGCTCTGGAAGCAGAGATGCCTAGGTGACCCAAGCACAGCCCCTCCCTTGCGTCAGCCCTGTGAGGAGAAGGTTTCTGCCCCTTGCCCCTGGGCTCTAAGGATGGTGAGCTCATGTCTGGGGCTGTCCAGGAGAGTGCCTGCTGAGCAGGATCGGGGTGGGGCACTTGGTGCCAGATCCTGGCTCCTCGGTCCGGCTCTTTCCTCCCCCTCAGCCCACTGAGATCCAGCTGTTCTCTATGGCCTCCTGGACAGCACTGTCACCCAAGGACATGGGGGCCTTTTTTAGGGTACAAGAATGAGGATCCAGAGCCTGGGGCTGGTCCTGGCCTACTCTGTGCCTTAGTACTTTTTGTGAAAGAGAAAACCCAGCACGGGCCTTGTGGGATGGGTGGCTTGTTCATGACCTGAGGCTGGATGGGAATGAATGAGGAACATCAGGACCCTCTCAGCTGGGAGCCGTGGATGGTGGGGACAGAGACTGCCCCTTGGAGGGGAAAGGACTCTTTGGTCTCGGCTTTGACTTGTCTAGTCTCTGTCCCTTTGTCACTGGTGAAAAGAGGGCAGGAGTCAGTGAGTTTCCCCCTGTCCTGGCCTTATAGTCTTGGCTGTTCCAAAAAGGAGTCTCGTGGAGGAACTGGGTCTTACTCTGAGAGGAGCTCACCTCAAAGTCAATTTTTGTGACGTCTTTCTAACATTGGAGGCCAGAAGAGGGTTGCTTCCATTGTCATGACCATGGGCTGGCCACCTTCTTTCTCTGGGCCTGACCTTTTTCTCTGTAAAACTCGGGGTTGCATCTCAAAGGCCTCTTCCAGGTTAGTGCTGAAACCCGCTGAGAACTGGGTGGATCAGTCCACTGTCCTCTCCTGAGAGACGTGATCAAAGGGAGGGGGAGGCTGGGGGAGGACATGGGCACAGTCAAAGGTTCCGGCACCTTCTTGTCTTCCATGAGAGCCATGTTAGGGGCTGCATTTTCGCTGCACACCAGACACCTCCCTCCCCCACCATTGCCTGACAGGGCGGCTTGGATTGAGCACAGTGATGAGACTCAGTGAGAAGCTTGGCAAGGAGGAAAAGCCAAGGTCTGAAAGCGACGGGTGTGACTTTGAATCTCTGTTGTGCCTTACATTGGTCTGATGACCTGGCAAGGTGCTATCTCTTTGGACAGACATCTAGCCCTGGGACACTGGGGCTCCTAGTGCCACCTTGCAGGATGGGCATCCACCACTTTGGGTGGAACTCGCATTGATATTCTTGGACATTGTGGTTGTGGTGGGGGAGCTTAGGGAGCCCTGGGGCTGGGGGCACCCACATGGCCACACAACCTGCGGGTTGCAGTGTGGAAGGGAGTGCAGGGTACATGCAAAGATCCAGGCTCTTGTGTAGGAATCAGAAACCTTTAATGGACAAGGGTCCCTAGAATCCTCTGTAGGAGGGATCTGGAGACGTGGTCACGGTTATCCCCTTGAGTCAAGGCGGGACCACCCTTACCTCGTCCTGGACCTATCAGAGATCTGTCGTGTCAGAGGAACATTTTTGGCTTCTCATCCTCTTTCCTGTCCTCTTTCCCCCTCTGGCTGGAAGACCATTTAAAAATCAACCCACACTTCTCTGCTACACTGCAGCCCTGCCCACTGTGTAGATGAGGAACAGTCGGCATTCTTTATAGGCTCGATTGTG